AGAGGGTTAGAATTTATGGTGATGGGCCATAGAGGGAGAGAGATAGAGGTAAGCGGCTAAGGCAGCAGCTGAGAGCTCTTATCTTGATCAATCCACAAGTGGGAGGCAGAGGCAACTGGGAATGAATCTTTTGTTAATCTCCTCCAATAAGATCACACCTCCTAATCCTTCCCAAACAGTTCCAAAGCTATTTAACATTCTTTCCTGGAAGTTATCCAGATGTAGAGGGCAGTACCCCCAACCTTCCTGGAAAAAGGTTGCATTCTGTGCAATGACCTTGGGCCTGGGGGCTAGAAAACTAAAACATTAGAATTTGGAGTCAGTTCTGACTTGATGTTCATGTATAGAAATGAAAAGATGGGTAAAATAAAGACCTTGGCACTGCAAGCCCTTCCTGCCAATGCCCTGGTTTTAAAAGAACTCATCTAAAACATCTGCCTCTTATTTAAATCCAAACACCTTTTTTGTGACTCAAATTCTAGCAACACTGGCTTCTACGTTTAACTCGGGAATAACACAGAATTAAGACTTGTTAACACTGTTGTTTACTTGTAAAAAGGTAGTTTGTCTTCACTGGCCTTGAAGGTATGTTACATAAATTTAAAGGCCATTTCTGTGGTAATTTTAGATCTTTGAACCTCCAAGTAACAGCTGCATCCTGATGTTTAGAAAAGCCATCTTCATAAGGTGGTAATGCCTTTAATCCCAGGACTCCAAAGTGAGTTCCAGGAAGGCCAGAGCTACACAGAGAAATCCTGTCTTTAAACAAACCAAAAAACGAAGGGAAGAGAAAGAAAGAAAGAAAAAGCCATCTTCCATGCTTTTGTACCCTGTAAAGGTTTGCCACTCATTGGTTTAATAAAATGTTGATTGGCCAGTAGAGTAGAATTCTGGAAACAGGAACGGTAGAGAGTCAACATCCAGACAAAGGAAACAAAATGAGAATGAGAAAAGGTACCAAGTCACATAGCTAAACATAGATAAGAATTGTGGACTAATTTAAGTTGTAGAACTACTTAATAAGCCTGAGCTAACAGGCCAAACAGTTTATAATTAATATAAGCCTCCGTCTGTTTCTTTGGGACTAAAATGGCCGTGGGACAGGTGGGACAGAAACTTCTATCAAAAAATGGCGCTCAACATTCAGCAACTATATCCACATAAAACCTAAGAGAGCTTGGGAAGGGATTTTAACTGTACACACAAGTACAGTTAAGCATGGCTTCTTGGTAGCTGGATTTTCATGGATGGGCTCTGCTAGAGACAAGCAGAGGCGCAGCTCCTTTAAGAGCGGCTTCCAGATTCAGTGTTAGTGGCCAAAACTTTACAGCTCTTTTGAAAGGTCCTGCCACCACACACTTAAATGGTGTTTATGTGCAGTCAGCAGCATGCTGCTTAGTGGTGGCATGGACATGGCTCCTGCCAAAACCTCTGCCATGAAGCTAGACTATATCAGAAAGCTAAGGAATGTGGCAGAGTAAACCACCAACACCACAGCTTTAATCCTAGCCATGCTGTTTACCAGATTAAAGACTCGTGTGCTCAGAAAAAGAGCTATAAAGAGATTCAGATGGGTTAAAAACACACACACAAACCTAAATGGTTTACAGTGTGTTTAAAAACATACATAGGCTTGGGAAAGAAAAAGGATAAAGTCCTTAAAGACAAATAGAGTAGCTGGGTGTGGTGGCGCACACCTTTAATCCCAGCACTTGGGAGGCAGAGGCAGGCGGACCTGAGTTTGAGGCCAGACTGATCTACAGACTTGAGTTCTAGGGAACATCCAGGGGTACACAGAGAAACTGTCTTGAAAAAACAAAAATCAAAAAATAAAAAATGCCACGTAAAGATGGAAAATATGGGGCTGGAAAGATGGCTCTTCCAGAGGACCTGGGTTCAATTCCCACATGGCAGCTCAAAACTGTCTGAAGATCCAGGGGATCTGACACTTCACACCAATGCACATAAAATAAAAGTTAAATGAACCATAAATTTATTTATTTATTTCTTTGGTTTTTCGAGACAGGGTTTCTCTGTAGCTTTGGTGCCTGTCCTGGAACTAGCTCTTGTAGACCAGGCTGGCCTCGAAATCCCAGAGATCCGCCTGCCTCTGCCTCCTGAGTGCTGGGATTAAAGGCGTGTGCCACCACTGCCCAGCTCATAAAAATATTTTTAAAAAGATGGAAAATATGCAGAGAATCTGGATGCTGTATGTTATCGTGTTGTCTTTGAATTGTTTCATTGCTAAGGAGCAACAGCTGCTAAAGACATTTGATTATAAATGCTGCTGGGTTAATCCAACCTAAATATTTTGAAAATGCCTTGACTTCAAAATTTAAGTCAAAAGATTACTTTGGTCAGAGAAACCCTGTCTCGAAAAAATCAAAAAAAAAAAAAAGATTACTTTGGTGAAGAGATTTTGATTTTATTTCCACAGGAAATGAGAGGCTGTGCATTCATTCTGAGTTAAGAAAAAATCAGGTTTGATTATAGAAGAACCCCTGAAAAATCTGATAGGAACAGATAGCTTAGATGATCCAGTGTCTCAGAGCACCTTTGCTGCAATTTCCTCTGAGTTCTACATCCAGAACAGCTATAAGGTGACTGGTCAAGGTGATCCAGCCTCACAGAATACTCCAGTCAGAATTTGACTATAATCCTAAATTTTCTTTGGGCTCCTATAAGATTATCAGTGCCCCCAATCAGCAGAAAGTAGCATAGAAAACTGCCCATGTTTCCAAAAAATAAATTATTTGGATGTTTGTCTCTTTTTTTAAGAGTGTTGGTTACGGGCTGGAGAGATGGTTCAGTGGTTAAGAGCACTGGTTGCTCTTCCAAAGGTCCTGAGTTCAATTCCCTCACAACCATCTGTAATAAGGTCTGGTGCCCTCTTCTGGCCTGCAGACATATACACAGGCAGAATATTGTATCCATAATAAATAAATAAATAAATAAATAAGAGTGTTGGTTACAAGTTGATATGGTCAGAAAAAAAGTTAAACAAGATTAGATTCAGAGTTCTTCTTGAAACAGATTTGTCACACATATTGGTTAATAAAATACTGATTGGTCAATAGCCAGGCGGGAAGTATAGCTGGGGCGGTGGAGCAACCAGACTAGGAGAATTATGGGAAGAGGAAAGCCAGACACAGAGGGTGCAAGATGAGGATGTCTTACTGAAAAAAGGTACCAAGCCAGGGCTGGAGAGATGGCTCAGAGGATAAGAGCACTGGTTGCTCTTCCAGAGGTCCCGAGTTCAATTCCCAGCAACCACATGGTGGCTCACAACCATCTGTAATGAGATCTGGTGCCTTCCTTGCCAGCAGTACATTGTGTGCTTAATAAATAAATCTTTTTTTTTTTTAAAAAGGTACCAAGCCATATGGTTAAACATAGACAAGAATTAGGGTTAATTTAAGTTGTAAGAGTTAGTTAATAATAGGCCTGAGCTAATAGGCCAAGCAGTTTATAATTAGTATAAGCCTCTGTGTGTTTCTTTGGGACTGAATGGTTACAGGACAGGGCAGGACAGAAACTTCTGTCTATACATCTTTCCCTCTAAGAACTGCTTTCATAGTTATCCCCACCCCCACCCCCCAAACAGTTCTTGCTAAGAATCTGACTTCACACCACATGCACATAGCAGAACAACATGATATAGTTCCAGACTAGTACACAGGTCACAGTCAGCATCCCCCAAGGAGTACTGAACCATCAAAGAAGATTATATCCCAATCTCTAGATTTTTGTTATTACATTTATTTATATATATGATATGCATGCACCCTGGCTCACATATGGAGGAAGTAGATTCTCTCCTTTCACCAAGAAACTTGAACTCTGGTCATGAGGGTCATGCCAAGTGCCTTTACCTACTGAGCCATTTCAACAGCCCTCTATAGTTTTAGAGAAGCTTTAGATGAAGCCAGTGTAAACCATATGCTGTAAACAGGTGATCCACAGCTGTTAAAGTAATGCAAGGACCATAGCCTTGTGAATATACTTGCTATGGTCAATCTGAACTGGTAGACCAGAAAGTGAGGACCCTGATGTTTGTGGAAGATACCATGGTGCCTCAAATTACATTCTTTGCTACTATGAAGACAAGAATAAGGAGATCTCATTCTATTCTGCTGTGAACCTTTAGCACTTTATCCATTAGCAGTATGTTATGGACATGGCATGCCAGTTAAAATATGCAGCTTCCAGAAGAAATGTTTACCCTCCTCCCCCCCCCCAAAAAAAAGAAACCAAAGTAAGCAGTCATCCCTGGTGTTCACCATGGACTGGCTCCAAGACCCCTGTCCCACAGATGGGAAAATCCACACATGCTTAATGCTTAAGTCACGTGCATAGTATAGTATTAAATACCTTGTGCACATAATCCTGTGCATTTCACATCATACCCAGATGATTTACAATACCTCATTCAATGTAAAGTAAGGTGAACTGACAGTTCTCAACTCAACCAAAAGCAAACCCTGACTTAAGCTGGCCCTAGAAGATCCTTTCTGCATAAGCTATTGATCTCAAGTTCTCATTTGCTATGTGGACTCTTAAAGGGCTGAAAAAGGAAACCTTAGTGTTAGAGTTAGATTGGAAATCTGTTGTCTGTCCCTTCCCCCATCCCAGTGCTGTGAGGTAACACGGGGCTTACTGATAACAGTATTATCTCTAGCCATGGCTACACCCTCGGTACTATATATATACATACTCCTTAGCTGAGATTTTAGACAAAGCTATTGACTTCTCAAAGACTGGCTTCTCCATCCATGTGTGCCAGTATCTATTTTAGACTGATGGTAGGGACTGAGAAAACCATAAAGCATCTAGAACAATACCTTGTCACAGTAAACATGACTATGGTAAGTAAGCAGCAAAGATGTCTCTGAAGGCGTCCACATCTCTTCTGAAGAGAGGTGCTAAACCAGGATGCTGATGTCTGTTCATGCTATTTGCAAATAAGTTTGAAACTTAGGGAGACAATATAAACTACAGCAGCCTTTTAATCTAATTTTATTTCTGAAGTTGAAATTACTAGCAGGTAGCACTAAAAATACACCTTCACTATACAAAACAATGTAAACTGATTACATGTTAATAAAGAATTTAGCACACACACACACACTTCTAAGATAAGAAGCTAGATGCAGCCCTTGCTATTAAAAGCTGTACCTGAACAAAAATGGACATATTTATCTGAGGTCCTGGCAGTTGACTAAAGAATGTCAATTGTCTCCCAATTATGTTTAAATGCAGAGATAGCAACAATGTGGAAACTTACATTCATCAAATATTAGCATTTAAAATATATATGACTAATAAAGCGAACACTCAGAGCAGCCACTGCTCAGTGTAGTCCACACTAGCCCACTTGTGAACAATGAGTTCATTTCTAAGAGAGCATAAGTTTCAAACACAGGATAAAGGGGAAATTAAGAGACAGGCCTCCATAGAGCAAGAGCAAATAACCACACTAACAGTCTGACCTCAGCAACTAGTGCCCAGGGGAAACAAGTGATAAAACCCAGCAGAAAGCTGGGAAAGCCATGTGTCCACAGGCATAGGCCTGTCTTAGGATGAACTTTCTGTCCCCAGTCAGTAATGAAAATAATTTTTAAAAATAGTCTCTGCCTTGGAACAGTAAGTTTCCAGTCCTTTATGCACTCAGATGTTTGGGATAGAATCACGGGCGTGTCCCACTGCGAGGGGCCTCAATCTCATGACTTGAAAACATGCACAGCACGCACCACATACTGTCGACAGATGGGACACTCACTCATGCGCTTGCCACACTTGGTGCAGGTGACCATGTGCCCACATTCCAGCAGGACACAGTCAATGACTGCATCCATGCAGATTCGGCACAGGCTGTCGTCTTCCTCATCCTGAAGCTGCATCCGCTCACCGTCTGAAAAGAATAGAGAGCTAGGGCTCTGGAAGTGGCCACTGGCCTTGTTCCCCTACCCATGGTCAAGCAGCCATCTTCTGAGGAACAACCACAGGCCCAGTACCACCCCAGTGCTATACTGAAAGTAGTCTCTTAACCTCCCTACACTTCTTATACTAGATGTGATATGTATCTCAGATTTCTGGAAGAAATATGTGGCTTAGGACCAGCTAAAACATATTCCATAAATGTTGGCTACTTATTAGGAAAAAGAAATAGGGGCTAGGGATGTAGCTCAGTTGGTAGAGTACCTGCCAGCTTGTGTGAAGTCTTGGCTTTGATTGCTAAGCACTGTATAAGCCAGGCACAACAGTATATGCTTGTAATCCTAGCACTTGGAAAGGTAGAGGCAAGAGGATCAGAGGTTCAAGGTCCTCTTTAACTACAGAGTGAATTTGAGACCAGCCTGAGTTACAGGAGACCTTGTCTCAAGTGAAAAAACAAAACAAACAAACAAAAGCAACCTATCAACCCATATCCCTCAATAAGCCACTCAGTAGTCAGGCTACAAGTAGAAGTTTACAGCTGGATGTTTCAGCTGTATGGCCATGAAGATGGGACAGTTGCATTTCAGTAAAAGGAACTTTATTCCACAAATAATAAGAAAAACTAGATTCAACAAATGATTGTCTAGCTTACCTGGTAACAGCTGTCTCAAAGCCCATGTAATGTAGGACTATTTAGCAGCTCAATAAACTGGCTTACATAACTAACCCAGGGACTAAAAAGATACATTTGCTTTTCTAAAATACCAATCGATTTATTCATTTAATTTTAGGTGTTATAGGTGTTTTGCCTGCATTTATGTCTGTGTATCACTTAAATGCCTGGTTCCCATAGAAACCAGAAGAGGAACAGGGTCCCCTAAATTGAAATAACAGAGTTGGGAGTCTCTATGTAGGCACTGAGAATTGACCTGAGTACTCTAGAAGAAGAGCCAGCAGTTTTTAACTACTAAGCCATCTCCCTAGCCCCAAATCTTTTTTTTAATGGTTTCTGTTTTAATAATTTAATTTTTAATTTTTTGTGTGCTGGTGTTGTGGCAGGCATGCACGTCTGTTACAGACAGCGGTGAGTTGCATGTGAGTGTGTGAATTGAACACAGGTCTTCAGGAAGAGCAGCCAGTGCTCTCAACCACTGAGTCATTTCTCCATCCCAGTGATTTTTATTTTTGAGATAGGGTCTGACAGCTAGGTACCCTCCTGGTTTGGCTTCCTGAGTACTGGGATCACAGGCATGCACTGCCATGCTAGCTAAATCTGACTTAACTATGGCAACAAACAACCCAGTTTTTAAAGCCCAAGAAAGAATACTCAGGATAAAAAGGAAAATTAAACCTACATGACTTTTGGTTTTCTTCATTCTCTTTGTACAACCGGTTGACTTTTTCTACCAGCTCCCATTTTTCACAACAGCCAGAATAGTTGACAAAGTTCCGAGCCAGGATCTCCTTCAGCTGGCGCACACTCATCCCTTCTACCTCTTCAAGGCTTGACAGGTCGGACAGCGAGGCTCTCACTTTCTTCTTAGAGAGTCCTGGGTTCTGAAATCAGAACATCTGTTACCTTTGTCTCCACATGTTCAGATGCCTCTCCTATTTTGGTCCAAATGGCTCTGGATGCTCTCCCCAGACTCCTCAGTTCCCTGAGGTGATGTAATATAGTGTTCTACAGCTGAACTAGAAAAAAATGGCCTGTGCTGATCTAGAGGAAGTCTAGCATCTTCCCTTTCTGCCAATGCATTTATCAGGAAATGCAGTTTTAAAAGAGTTTTACCTGTTCCTCCAAGTTTTCTTCTTGTTCATCATCATCATCTTCTTCTTCATTGTCATCATCTTCATCTTCATCATCTTCATCATCATCATCATCATCATCTGTGTTGGCTGAAGCTATTTCACTTTGTACCTATATGCATGACAAATCCAACTGATTACTAATCAGGCTTCTCTAATTTTTACTTCTCTCTAGAGAAAAACTATCCACTGATCTTCCTCAAGATTACCTTAGAGCCGGGCGATGGTGGCTCACACCTTTAATCCCAGCACTCAGGAGGCAGAGGCAGGCGGATCTCTGTTAGTTCGAGACCAGCCTGGTCTACAGAGCTAGTTCCAGGACAGGCTCCAAAGCCACAAAGAAACCCTGTCTCGAAAAACCAAAAAAAAAAAAAAAAAGATTACCTTAGAGCCAGGTCAGCAGAGCAAGCAGAACATTCCTTTAATCCCAGCACTCGGGAGGCAGAGGCAGGCAAATCTCTGTGAGTTCAGTGCCAGCCTGGTCTACAGAGTTAGTTTCAGGACAACCAGGACTGTTACACAAAGAAACCATGTCTCAAAAAACAAAACAAAAATCCTTGATAAACCGGCTAATGGTGACACACAACTTTAATCCTAGTACTTAGAAGGCAGAGGCAGGTGGATCTCTGAGTTCAAGGCTAGCCTAATCTACAAAATGAGTCCAAGACAGCCAGGGCTACACAGAGAAACCCTGTCTCAGAAAAAAAAAAAATTCTCAATAATCCACAGTTTTCCTTAGAAAAACAAAAATTCTTTCTATTTTGTATTATATACTTTCTTTCATATATTCTCCTTTGGGGCTGGAGAGATACAGTTTTTTTTTAAAGGGAAAGTCTAGCCTGTGCTAGAATTAACTCATTTCCTTCCTGCCTCCACATTCCAAATGCTGGAACTGTAGATGTATACCATTACTCTTTGACCACAGCATATAATAGCTAGGTTGGTTCCAATATCACACATTTCACCCTACAGGCACTACATTACAGCACTGTGCCACCTACCTCTCCCCCAAATGGGGTCATATATCCCAAAAGTGGTACAAGTCAGATATATCTTCATATAATTATGCAAGTTCTCATTTGAGAAAAATCATAAAACTTTGGTCCTTGTCTTATGAATTTTTGGATAACAGCGAAATCAATCTTCCGGTCTCTGTCCTTTAAGTTGTTTTAGCTTTTGGTTTTCAGATGGAGTTTCCCTAGGTAGCTCTGGCTGTCCTGGATCTCACTCTGTAGACCAGGCTGGCCTTGAAATCACAGAGATAGGTTGTGGTATAGTACTTTAACTAGGGAAAGATGTGTTACATTTGTTTATGCTGGTTTTTTTTTGTTTTGTTTTTCAAGACAGGGTTTCTCTGTAGCTTTGGTTCCTGTCCTGGAACTAGCTCTTGTAGACCAGGCTGGCCTCGAACTCACAGAAATCCACTTGCCTCTGCCTCCCATGTGCAGGGATTAAAAGCATGCGCCACCATTGCCTGGCTTGCTTTGACTGTCTAAGGCACCTGATTGGTCTAATAAAAAGCTGAACGGCCAGTAGGAAGGCAGCAGAAGGATAGACAGGGCTGACAGGAAGAGAGATTTAGTAGGAGGAAGAACCTGGGCTTGAGAAGAGAATGAGGGAGCCGCCAGGGGCAAACCAGGCAGACTCTGAGGAGGACAGACAGGATGAAAGAAAGCTTTTTAGCCCTGAGGCAAAACATAGATGAAGAGAAACAGGTTAAGTTAAAAGAGCTAGTGGGACAAGCACAAGATAAGGCTGAGCATTTCAGACTCATTTATATACAACAAACCGTGAGTTGCAGCCTTGCATGTTATCCAACTAGGAGGCTCAAGAACATTATTAGGATAGTATTTTTATTTATTTTTTTATTTTATTTATGTTTTATGTATGAGTGCTCTGCATGACAGATGAGGGCATCATATCCTATTATAGATGGTTGTAAACCACAATGTGGTTGCTGGGAATTGAACTCAGGACCTCAGCCAGTGCTCTTAATTGCTGAGCCATTTCTCCAGCCCAAGATAGTATTCTAATTATACTAAATAAGTACATTTATTTTTGTTATTTAAATTAGGTAATTTTGTAATAGGAGATATAGCATAGTTAAGAGTACTTGCTTAAACTGTGTAATGGTGGTATAGGTCTTTGATCCCAGAATTAAAGAGGCAGAGGCAAGTGGATCTCTGTGAGTTCAAAGCCAGCCTGGTCTACAGAGTGAGTTCCAGGACAGCCTGGGCTACACAGAGAAACCCTGTCTGGAAAAATTAACAAGAGTGCTTGCTTAGTACGAATAAACTCTTGGGTTCAATCCCCAGCACGACCTAACTCAGGTTATAATGATGCACATTTTTGACCCCAGCACTCAAGGGGTGGAGCTGGGAAAACCAGAAGTTCAAAGTCAGGGGTGGGTTGGGGAATAAAGCTCAGATAATTAAAATGCTTGCTGTACAAGGACCCGAGTTCGGGTTCCCAGCACTCACACAAAGACAAGGTGAAGAGCACATGTTTCCATGCCAGCACTAGAGACAGTAATGGAAGCTTCCCTGAGGCTTTATGGCCAGATTGCTAGCGGGATCAGTGACTCCAGGTCAGTAAGGGCCCAATCTCACAGATTAAGGTAGAGAACAACTGAGCAAGCAAGACTACATACACATACACACATGAACAGTTCCTCCTCAGCCACAGAGGGAGCTTGAGGCAAACCTGAGGTAGAGACCTTGTCTCAAAATAAGTAAATAAGAGCAAGTCAGAACAATTTCCCTTCATCAAGGTCAACGATTATTGATTGTTTCTATAGTCACTGACACTTTAGTTACTAATCCAACAGTTAACTATACAACTTCTATATCTATACAAGACAGGAAACTGAGGACAAGAAACTCATGAGCTACTTCAGACTACACATCAGGCAGACAAGCACTGCAGCCCTGGGGATGGAATCTCTGCCATTCATCTAAAGTCACCCAGCACGGTTGATCCCTAGCACACATGGGCAAGAGTGAACACACCAGGCCCTTGGGGTCATCAATGACACCATCCTACCTGTGCCAGAACTTCTGATCTGAAGGTCCCATCTCTGTCCATGAGCTCACCCTGGAAGGAGGACACAGTAGCAGAGGGGGCTGTATAATTTGAAAAAAACGACTGTGTAAAAAAACTAGAAGTCTGGGACCGTGAGGAATTCAGGCTGCTTGAGTCCAGGTCACCCCCTGAAGCTAGTCCACGATGGCACAGTACTAGATCTACCAAGTCTTCCTTCTCCCGACAAGTGTCAGTCGGTATGTTTCTGAGGAGGAGATACTGCCGTAGGTCCTTCACTTTCAGCCGCATCAACTGAGGGCGCTGGAAGGCTGTCTCCTGCAGTAGGTGACAAGTAGAACATCTGCGGAGGTTTCCGTGGGAAACTGAGCAAAAGGAGCAGAAGTCCTTCTTGCAGTCACAGCAGACGTGCTGAAGACAGAACAGACGACACCATCACATATAAGCCACTGTGAAAACACCCTCTTCTTAGGCTTGTCTTAAAACTGAAACCTGGTTCATGTGCAGTCCCCACCATACCAGCCTATTTTCATAAAACCAGTCACCACTAGGGCAGCTTAGAGCCACAAAACTTCAAATACAGCACTTTAAGAAAAATATACGCTCTTGTGTTAATAAATTAAAACATTTCCACCCCTTGGCACAAACATGTAATTAGCAGAACTGAGCTGAGTTGAACCACATGGAACAGAAAGCACAGCCACAAAGCTCTTTTCCTGGTCTTTTCCTATGTGGATAATTTCCTCAGCAAAGAGGAGGAAAAAAGCTTAATATAAAAAGAAAGGAAACTGACCTCTCCAACTTAACCCAAGGACACAGAAGATGCCACTAGTACAGAAATCTGTAGCAACGTGACCCTAATTACAATCTAAGCCCTCTTACACTCAGATGTGTCCACTCCTGCTCAGTGTACGGCTCCCACAAGCCAACACTCTCCTTTATGTACTTCAAGGGATTATACAGATCAGACTGCATGACCGTGAAAGTAAAAGTTGTAACCTAAGTGCTTTATGTAAAATCTCCACAAACATTAGTTTATTCATTGCCACTCCCACCCCTAAAACAGGTTTTTTCGCTGTACTCAAACTGGCCTAGGACACTCTACTCTAAGTAGCCTCACCTGGCCTTGAATTTACAGCAATGACCCTATCTTAGCCTCTTCAGTTCTGAGATGACAGGTAAATTTCAATCACACCCAGCTTCCTTATTTAAAAGTTAAGAATACTGGAGCTAGAGATGGCTCAGTGCTTAAAAGCATTGCTTATCTAGAAGATCCAAGTTTAGTTCTCAGCAACCATGTCTGATAGCTCACAAATGCTACTATAGCTCCAGTTCCAGGGTATCTCCCGCTTTCTGGCCTCCTCAGACATCCACATACATGCAGTATCCACTCACAAAGTCACAAACACATAGCCATAACAAAGAGGAAGGAAGAAAGCAAACAAAGAAACAAAAAAAAGAAACAAAGTAACAAAGATGGTCAGGGAACTCATGCATGGTTCAAAGGTTAAGAGTTCTTCCTGCAGCCCTGCAGAGGTGTCACAAATCTTTAATCCCAGCCCTGAAAGAGAGACAGGCAGATCTCTGTGAGTTTGAGGCCAGCCTGGCCTAGAGCAAGTTCCAGGACAAGTTCCAAAGCTACACACAGAAACCCTGTTTCAACAGAGTTCTTCCTGCTCTTCCAAAAGACCTGTATTTGGCTCCCAGCACCCATATTGGGCAGCCTTTTAAGCCCAGCACTCCGGAGGCAGAGGCAAGCAGATCTCTGTGAGTTTGGGACCAGTCTGGTCTACAGATCAAGTTCCAGGACAGGCTCCAAAGCTACAGAGAAACTCTGTCTCAAAAAAAAAAAAAAAAACAAAAAAACAAAAAAGAATATGGTCAGGCGCTGGAGAGATGGCGCAGTGGTTAAGAACATTGTCTGATCTTCCAGAGACCCCAGGTTCAATTCCCAGCACCTACATGGTAGCTCACAACTGTCTTTGACTCCAGTTCCAGAGATCCAACACTCTCACACAGATATATATGAAGGCAAAAACACCAATGCATATAAAATAAAAATAAACTTTAAATAGGGGGAAAAAAAGAATATGATTGGAGTTTTTCCTATTGCGTTGCCTTGTCCAGCTTTGATGAGGGTATGTGCCTAGTCTTATTGTAACTTGTTGTGCTGTGTTTGGTTGATAACCCCTTGGAGTCAGTCAGTCCTGATCTTTTCTGAAGGGAAAGGGAGGAAGAGTAGATCTGGGAGAAAGGGAGGTGTAGGGGAGGAACTGGGAAAGAGGGAGGGGAAACTGTGGTCAGGATACAAGAGAAGAATAAATAGAGATGGTAGCTAGACAGACAAAGAGAAAGGGACAAAGAGACAGACAGACAGACAGAGTGTGTGGTCAGGAGATAGGAAGAATGTCTCATGCTGTAATCTAATACTTGGCAGAGGCAGAAGGACAGCTGGGCGTTTAAATGAGTATCATCAGGAATGAAGTAAAGATCCACACACCAAAGGCAAACCAGCAAAAACTGATCAGAAAATATGAGAACTAGAATCTTACTGCATAGATTTCCAAGTGGATTATCTATTCAACATAACTTACAACCAAGAATTATGATCTGTGTCTTGTTTATTTCCCCATGTGTTATTTGTAAGCAACATTTCGTCCAACTCACCTTCTTTCTAAAGACTGAAAATGAAAGCCCACACGCTTTGCAAACTATATTGGGCCCTTCAGTAGCTGCTGGTGGATAGGTGGGAAAGTCAGAGCTTGGTGTAAATCTGAATGGGCCGGTGCTTCCTGGAAATCCCGTCTGCTGACCTCTGACAGCTCCAGTTCCCATGACTTCATTTAGCAGCCCACAGCATGAAGCCCACATAGAAGTAGCACCCGCCTGAAAAAAACCACAAATGCATAGTTTTTTTTTTTTTTTTTTTTTGGTTTTTCGAGACAGGGTTTCTCTGTAGCTTTGGAGCCTGTCCTGGAACTCCCTTTGTAGACCAGGCTGGCCTCGAACTCACAGAGATCCGCCTGCCTCTGCCTCCCGAGTGCTGGGATTATAGGCGTGCACCACCACCGCCCGGCTACACAAATGCATAGTTTAAAACCAAGCAGAGGAGCTAGAGAGATGGCTCAAAGGTTAAGGACACTGGCTGCTGTTCTTCCACAGGACCCAGGTTTGAGTCCCAGTACCCACATGTTGGCTCGTACTATCTATAATTCTGGTCCCAGAGGATCTGATGCTCTCTTCTGGCTTTGTAGGGCACCAGGCACACACGAGATACACAGATATATATGCAAGCACAACATCCAAACGCCTTTAATCCCAGCACTCAGGAGGCAACGGCAGGTGAATGTCTGTGAGTTCGGGGCCAGCCTGGTCTACACAGTGAGTGCCAGGACAGGATCCAAAACTACACAAAGAAACCCTGCTTTGAAAAATTTAAAGAAAAAAAAAAGGAAAATAAATAAATAAATAAATAAGATAAGCCAGAAGTGATGGTGCATGCCTTTAATTCCAGCACTCAGAAGGCAGAAGCAGGCAGATCTCTGAGTTAGAGGCCAGCCTGGTCTAGGAAGTGAATTACAGGACAAAGACAAAGACCCTGTCTCAAAAGTTAATAAATAAAATAAAACCAAGTGAATGTGGGCTGTCACTTTTCAGAGGTAAGTTTGCCTTAAGTAACCTTGAGATTACAAGGTAACTGTCTCCAATCTATCATCCCCAACACAGTGCTAAATAAGCTTCAAATTCAGGAGCAAGTAGGGGTAAATATTCCAAAAAGCACTTTATTTCCAAGCATCCCTAAGAAGAGACATTCACGTTACCAAAACTGCAAGTCATTGTGAAAGACAATTTTCTGATATTTCCAAACCAAAAAAAAAAAAAAAAAAAAAAATGCATGACAAAAAGAAAAAAAAAGTTGAAGCCAGGCAGTGGAGGTGTATGCCTTTAATCCCAGCACTCTGGAGGCAGAGGCGGGTGGGTCTACACAGTGATTTCCAGGACAGTCTGGCTACAAAGAGAAACTCAGCCTCGAAGGAAAAAATAAAGAAAAACCTGAAACAGTGTCTAGAGGCCCAGGACTCAGATTTGCAATCCTCCCCACCTCAGGTTTCTATATGCCACTATAATGACTCTATGTCAGTCAAGTATGTCCTATATAATGTTGGAGACATGCTAATCCCCTTTAAATGTCAGCTTTTATATGAAATTTAAAGTCCTACAGTGTCTGAGTACTTCCCCTGTTAACTTGGAATATGTACTAGATACTACAGGCCTATTTCTCCACCTACTATTTAACAGAAAGATAAGATATAAAACCATACTCTCATTAACCCTACTGTCTCACTGTTTATTGAGTATAATATGCTAGTTTTTTATCGTTAAACAGCACAGGGAAGGAGGTTGGAGGTTAAGAACACTAGCTGTTCTTCCTGAGTTCAATTCCCAGCAACCACATGGTGGCTCACAACCATCTGTAATGAGATCTGGTGCTCTCTTCTGGCCTGCAGGCATACATGCAAGCAGAACACCATATACGTAATTAATAAATATATCTTTAAAAAAAAACAAAAACAAAAACTGAAGAATGTCAAATGAATATATTCTTTATAAAGAATGTGGGAAATAAAGTAGAATTCAAAAAGGAAGATAAATGCATGAGATACTTTCAAATCTGGAGAGCTGCTGGTGTGTGTGGTGGTGCTTACTTTTAATCCCAGCTCTCCGGTAGATTTCTGGGGGTTCAAGGCCTGGTCTCCATAGCAAGTTCCAAGCAAGACAGCTAGAACTACATTAAGGGACCCTATTAAAAAAAAATAAAAAACAAAACCCCTAGAGAGCTTTATTTGGCATTTGATTGCTTTTTGTCATTGCTTAAGATGGAACCCAGGACCTCATGCATGCTGAGTGTACTCTTGACACTGAGTTACATTATTAGAGGAAAGCAATCTAGTCCCATTCCTTCATGTTTCTATGGAAGAGCAGGAATTTCCTTTGCAGTCTCTAGAAAGAAAATAATCAAAAGAACACTAAGAGCTGAGGAGACAGCTCAGGTGGTAAAATGCTTGCCTATGAGCACAACACAAAAACCTATTTTCTACCCCAAGAACCCCCCCCCCCCCGTGCACGCCCACACACACAAACAAAAGCCCATGTGAGGATATAAGGACACAAACCCATAATCTCAGCAACTGGGAGGTGGAGGCGAGAGGATTGGAAGCTCAAAGTCATTCTTAGCTATAGTAAACTGAGACCAGCTTGGGTTACAGGAGGCACTGTCTCAAAATATTAAGTAAGTAACTCGACTATATAGTCAAAAAGCTGAGCATTTGGTGAATCTATATCCCAGCCTTAGGAAGGAGACAGGCAGATCCTTGAGGCTTGCTGGCCCCCAGGCTTCTTGGCAATTTCCAGGTCACAAAGTGTCTTAGTCACTGTTCTACTGCTGTGAAGAGACACCATGACAACACTTATGGAAGAAAGCGTTTAACTGAGGGCTTGCTTATAGTTTCAGACAGTCCATTATCATCATGGTCCATAGCAGATAGAGACTCTCAACTTGGGAGGGTTTTTGAAACCCTAAAGCCCACCCCCATTGACACATTTCCTTCAAAGCCCACACCTCCTAATCCTTTCAAATAGTGACTAAGCACTCAAATATATGAGCCTATGTGGGTTACAACAGGAACAACCCCCAAAGTTCCCTCTAGCCTATACACACGTATACACTCACATAAACACACATGCAGAGAAGACTTTTAGCTTTCTTTAAACACTTCATTATAAAAAACAAAATAGTCCCATGGCTTCCCAGTCAAAAATCTATTGCTGTCACCCTACTTAGTACAATGCAGATCCATATTACTACTTCCAGCCACAAACTTCAGGAGAAGGGAAGAAAACAGTGAAAAGGCTAGGTTGTAGCCTCATTAGGATCTGTGAAGTTTGGTCAAACACAGCCAATGAGATATAACCCTGGGGGCTCAGAGGTTAAGAGCACTGGCTGTTCTTCCAGAGGGCCTGAATTCAATTCCCAGCAACCACATGGTGGCTCACAACCATGTCTAATGAGATCTGATGCCCTCTTCTGGCCTACAGACATACATGCAGGCAGAACACCGTATTAATAAATAAATCTTTTTTTTTTTTTTTTTTGGTTTTTCGAGACAGGGTTTCTCTGTGGTTTTGGAGCCTGTCCTGGAACTAGCTCTTGTAGACCAGTAAATAAATCTTTTTTAAAAAGGAAAGAAAATAGCTTTTGCATTAAGCGAACACTCTTGGCAGCACAGGAAGGGTAGAGCCCACAATGCTCCCTTCTCTAAGAATAGCACCTGCATGCTTCCAACCTATTTGACAGTTCAAGAGTTCAAAGGGGGCTGTATGCACTCACTAGTCCTGTCTAGGGTATCCATCATTCCCACCCAGAGAACACGAAAAACGTAACTTCCACTTCTATATGAAGCCCTGTGTCTTCTGACACCCCAGAACTGAAGTGATTTCTTTAGTAATATGACCTCCCCTGTACTTGGGAACAGGCGGTTTTAGTTCCAGACCTCTGAGGCTGTACCATCATATGCTAAGTAATTGCCTCGGGCTGTGAAACTGACCCAGACTATGGTTCTCTGCATGTTAGACTCACCACAAAGCCTTAAAAATTATTCATGCCTGAAGACCTAAGCTTATCCCTAGGGTCCCCATGAGAACCACCTTCCCCAAAGTGTCCTCCAAATGCCACACAAGGGCTGTGGAATACACATGCACAAATAAACAAACATGAAATTTTAAAGGTTTTTAAATAGGGGGCCCTCTGATTTTGCTACTCTAGAGTACAGTTTGGGCAACAAAATTTGTTCTTTAATTCCCAAGTAATTCTGATATATAGTCAATGTTTACAAGGTCAAGGCTTTCTGGGTCTGAGTGAAGATTCCTTCTTCCTGCTCAAACAATTTTGGCTAGAAACGCCTGGGTAATGCCACACCCATGTGCTCACCCAAGACTTCTCTGTTTCTTTGTTGTCAAGGGTGTGCCTCTACTTACCCACTTCCCTTTACAGCTCCCCAGTACTTTCAGAAAGTATTAGGTAGCTATATTAGAATGGCTTAGCTGAGGTTCTGTCAATTTAATCTGATTCTCAAATTAGTTCCCTTTACTGAAATTTAGTGATTTCTTTCATTTTACTTACTCTCTGTTCCCAACTGTTTTGTTTTGCTTTTCTTTTTCAAGACACAATCTTTCTACATAGTCCTGTTTGTTGTCAGTCTGTAGATCAGTCTGGCCTTGAACGCTGATTCTTCTGCCACTACCTCCTGAGTGCTGAAATAAAAATTGCATGCCATCATGCTGGAGCTACTTTTATGTCCTCCTGAACTTCCTGTTTTCTTGTGTGAAATCTCTAACCCCAGGAAAACTGGCACTGATGGTCTAGTCTGTCAAAAACAGGCACTGTTAAAAATTTTTTGGTAGCCTTTGATCCCAGCACTCGGGAGGCAGAGGCAGGAGGATCTCTGTGAGTTCAAGTCCAGCCTGGTCTACAAGGAGAGGTCCAGGACAGGCAGGGTTACACAGAGAAACATTGTCTCGAAAAACAAAACAAAATTATTTTTTGGTCAGCAAGATGGCTCAGAGGATAAAAGCATTTGCCACACAAGCTTGATACCCTGAGTTTTAGCCCCTAAACCCACATAAAGGTGGAAGGAGAAAATCAGCTCCACAAAGGTTGTCCTCTCATCTCCGTATTCTGGCCAGGGTGGCTTCATGGGCATTCCCTCCTAGCTCCCATAAGCACAATAATAGTAAAGTTAAAAAAAACAAATGAGGGGCTGGAGAGATGGCTCAGAGGTTAAGAACGCTGACTGCTCTTCCAGAGGTCCTGAGTTCAATTCCCAGCAACGACATGGTGGCTCACAACCTTCTATAATAAGATCTGATGCCTCCTTCTGGACTGCAGGCAATCATACAGTACTGAACACTATAAATAATAAATAAATCTTTAAAAACCCAACATCTTTTATCCTTCACTTTCAATTAGAAGAATTTCAAGATGGCTCAGTGATTAGAAGAATCTGAAAGTTCTTCCATATAACATAGTGAGCTCCAAGTCTACATAGTGAGACCCAGTCTCCCAACAGACAGACAGACAGATGTGTGTGTGTTACAGATGGTTGTTCAAGTATTCTGAATGTTTCTAAGAACATTCTAAGAATGGACTCAGCCCTCCCTCTTCCAGTGCCAGTTTTCAAATAATCTCAATGTATGTCTTGTGTGTATATACATGATGTAAAATACACTTAGAATCCCTGAAGCAGGGAAAAGTTTCAAAATACTCAAAAGTTCCCAGCACTTGGGAGGCAGAGGCTGGGCAGATCTCTGTGAGTTCAAGGTCAGCCTGGGCTACAGAGTGAGTTCCAGGACAGGCTCCAAAAGTACAGAGAAATCCTGCCTCGAAAAACTAATAAAAGGGGCTGGAGAGATGGCTCCGCAGTTATAAGCACTGACTGCTCTTTCAGAGGACTGGGGTTGAATTCCCAGGACCCACATGGCAGCTCATAAGTGTGTGTAAATCCAGTCCCTGAGCGATCTGAAACCTTCACACCATTGCACATAAAATAAAGTTTCAAAAAAAAAAGGGGGGGGGGAACAAATTAAAAAAATACTCAAAGGTCACAATAAATTTTGACTCTTTTGTTTTTGTTTTTCAAGACAGGGTTTCTCTGTGTAGGTTTGGCTCTCCTAGACTAGGCTGGCCTCAAACTCACACCTGGCTCAAATTTTGGCTCTTATACCACAGACCAGCTCAAATTTTTGTTCTTATACTATATACTGTAATCTCTTTTAATGATTCCATTAAATACAATATTAACCAGCCAGATTAGAGAATGCGGTTTCTATGATGATTAAATTAAAGAGAGGGGTGGGGAAAAGGCAATGAACAGAGGATGAAGTTGTTGCTGGGTATAAAAACTAAATGATTTAAGTCATTTACTTCAGTTAAATATATAGTAGAAATTCTAAGAGTCTACTGTGCTGCCAAATGGAATATAATAACATTGTCCTTGCTGGGTGGTGGTGGCGCACACATTTAATCCCAGCACTCAGGAGGCAGAGGTAGACAAATCTCTGTGAGTTTGAAGCCAGCCTGGTCTACAGAGTGAATTCCAGGACAGCCAGACACCATTTTGAAAAACCAAAATAAATAAATAATAAAATAAAGTATTCTAAGTTGCAGTGATATTTTGTAACTACACTGGAAAGTAAAAAAAATAATAATAATGCTCACGGGGGTTGATGGCTCAGTGGTTAAAAGCACTAGCTGCCCTTCCAGAGACCAACTTTGATTCACAGCACCCACATAGTGTCTCACAACTATTAACACCAGTCCCAGGGGTCTGACATCCTCTTCAGACTCCATGAGTATCAGGCATACTCATGGTGCAGACATATATGCATTCATACCTATAGAACAAAATTTAAAAATTTAACAGAACAAAAACCTTAGAGGCTAGAATGATGGCTTAGCAGTTAAGAACACTCACTGCTCCTACAGAGGACACAGGTTGGGTTCCTAGCACCTACAAGGTATCTCACAACCATTGGTAACTCCAGTTCAGGAGATCTAATACCACCATCCGACCTTTGAGAGCACCAGGCATACAGATGGTGCACATACATATATACAGACAGACAAAACACTCATACACATAAACCTAAGAACATTTTAAAACTCTCACAGTATATTCACCCTTAAAGTTAGTTCCAATACTTCCTACTCCAGACCACACATTTGCAATCCAAGCACTCAGGCAGATCACTCACCAGTTCAAGGATAGCCTACATATTCAGTTCCAGGGCAATCAGAGATACACATTAAGTACACAGTAAGACCCTGTCTCAAAACAAAGTTACCTATTTCAAAAATCTTCCTTGTTCCAGCAGCAAGGGGCTTGTTGTTTTGAAATCAAATCACATGTTGTACCAGCTGGAACTCTCAATTGTCCTGACTCCAGCCTCTACCTCGCAAATGCTGGGATTACAGGTAAGCAACAATGAAAGCATCATTATTTTCCTTGCTTCTGAGGGTTGGTTACATACACACACCTTACATTATTGTGGTTTGTATTGTAGCTACTTGGGATCTGTCTGGGTTTTGTTGTTGTTTGGTTTTTGAAGAAAGGACTTCTAAGTGGTGGCCTCAAACTTGCAGCAATCCTCCTGCTTCCGCCTCCTAAACATTGATAACAGGCCTGTGCCCCTGTGCCTACCTTGTCTCCTTTAATTGGCAAACTCCTTCCTAAAGAGGGGGATTATATTCTCAGTTACCTCTACTCCCTCTTGACTAATACAAAGAAGAAACTGGACAAACAGTTGCTGAATTACTCTAGCCACTTGACACTCTTTCAATCGTCCACAGTAAATCTTAAACTCTTTGTGAAGGTCGAGTTAATCTAGCAGCCCAAAGCCAACAACACTTCTTCGATGAGATGAATACAACCGTCTCTGTAGGGAGCGGTATCATCACCTCTTGGTTTGATTTGGGCAAATGAATCAATACCTAAATTGACTGTTGTACACAGACTCTTTAGAACTCTCTGTGATGAAGTTGAGAAAAATCATCTCCCCAAAGTAGGCCAGAATCACGCACACACCCCCTCCCCTTTTCTGAAACTTCTATCAGTGATGCTCCCACGCTCTCACTCCCACCAGGGAGAAAGGCTGTCAAATTACTTGCTGCGTACCTAGTGGCGATGCAGACGCAGCTAGCGCTCTAGGTCACTGCCACCGCGGAAGAACTCCTCTGCGGGGCGGACCCCAACTCCTGGCCTCTCTAGCCTCATCACTCCTCGCACCGCTCTCTGCCTTCTGTCTCGTGATGCCCCCCACATCTGGGTTAGCTCAAGGACTCGAGGAGGCAGAGGGCACGGCCGTGGGCAGAAGCACCGAGGCCTGAGGAGAGCTCTAGCGGTTTGAAAAGCTCGGGACCCCGAGAAAAGCACGGGGTCGGGGAACAGGGCCCAGCGGGCTGAGCCCTCAGGGCCACTCGCCTCCTCCTTGGCCAGGCCGCCGGGGGGCGCTGTGGGAGCTCGGGCGGATCCGCTAGCTCGGCCTCCCCGGCAGGAACCGGTCGGGGCGCCCCCCGCAGTGGTGGTCTCTCAGGAAGCCGCCGGGAAACCTGGGCGACGGAGTAAAAGGAGACGCTCCGGGCGCACAGGAGAGGCGAGGAGGGCCTCCCGGCTCCACCAGCCCCTCACCTTCATGGCCGCGACCGCCTCGGCTCGGTCGGCTCTACCCGGGAACTCAGCACCATAGCAGCCTCCTCACACAACGGACCTCCTTCCTTCTAAGGCGGCGAATGCTGCTCCTCCCGAGGCCGACTGAGCGTCCCGACGTAAGGGGCGTGGCCACGTCCGGCTCACGCCCCGGGAAGACGCCGAGCGGCGGCGGACAAAGCTCACCAATCCGAAGCAGTTCTTCGGGGGGCCGGTCACCAGAGCCAATGAAAAATTGTAGGGAAGGGGCGGGGCCTCGGGCGCAGCCTCGGGAGCGAAGAGGGGCAGGGCAGGGCAGGGCTGGGCGGGGTCCGACGCTTCGGCTCTCCGAGGGGAAGCTCTCGAGACTGAATTGGCTTCCCACTTCCGTGCCTTAATTCCCCTACGGAGACAGAAAAGAGTGTGATGAGGTGGGAGAAGCGGTTGGTTTGGAGTATTTTGTTCTCACCTGCCGAGCAGGCCCTCGGGGCTTACCCCATTCTCCGAATGTTTTAGATTCCCACATTGCGAGAATCTCTGGTCTCGAGGAGAGGCGTAGGAAGAACCACTAATGAGGTTTATTGAATTAAATTCCCATTGTTCCCATTGCTCTTTTATTTGTCGTTGTTTAGCGTGTGTGTGTGGGGGGGGGGGTAAAACAGAGAACAGAGTTTCCATGACTGTCCTATGAAGACCAGGCTGGCCTCAAACTCAAAGGAGCCGCTTGCCTCTGTCTCCAAGTGCCACCACACCTAAGACCAATTGACCTTTGAAATGTTCAACATGACCCAACTCCTAACCCTTTGAAGGAATTCACATGATCCTTTCTAATTGACGTGGGAGGCAGGGAAACAAGTGGCAAATAGTATCAATTTCCTCAACCTCACTGGGTTAAGGCTTTAAATAGTTAGTTTTCCTACACTTCTTTCTCTCACTTCAAAATAATAACTGAAACTTTGCCGGGTGGCAGTGACGCACGCCTTTAATCCTTTAATATGGGAGCAGAGGCAGGCAGATCTCTGTAAGTTTGAGGCCAGCCTGGTCTACAAGATCGAGTTCCAGAACAGGCTCCAAAGCTACAGAGAAACCCTGTCTCAAAAGAGAGAGAGAGAGAGAGACAGAGAGAGAGAGAGAGAGAGAGACAGAGAGAGAGAGACAGAGAGAGACAGAAAAGAGAAAAAGAAAAGAAAAAAACTGACACCTTAGATTTGAAGATGTTAATTCCTTCTTAGTAAAGACCCAGGCAGTTCCACTCCTCGAGACAGGGTTTTTTTGTGTCCTGGGACTATCCTGGAACTCGCTCAGTAGAGCAGGCTGGCCTGAACTCACACAGATTCACCTGCTTCTGCCTCCTGAGCCCTGAGATTAAACGTGTGCCACCACCACTGCCTGGTCACTATTACTTGAAAAAAAAAAAAAAAAGACAACAACAAACTCACTTTAAAATTCTTTACCTTGTGTATCTATGCACCATATGTGTGCTGTGACCAAAAGTCAGAAGATGTTGGCTCCCCTGGAACTGAATTACAGGTGGTTGTGAATCATTATGTGAGTGCTAGGAACCACACCCAGTTCCTCTGCAAAAGTAACAATGCAAATGCCCTGCACTTGGGAGACAGAGGCAGGTGGATCTCTGTGAGTTCAAAGCCAGCCTGGTCTACAGAGCTAGTTCCAGGACAGAACAGGTTTCAAAGCTGCAGAGAAACCCTATGCGGGGAGGGATAAAAGGGTAACAACACTCTTAACCACTGAGCTATCTCTCCAGCCCCTGTCTATTCCTTTTTTAAAAAAACAAACAAAAGACTTTATTTATTATATATGCAGGCCAGAAGAGGGCACCAGATCTCATTACAGACGGTTGTGAGCCATCATGTGGTTGCTGGGAATTGAACTCAGGACCTCTGGAAGAACAGTCAATGCTCTTAACCTCTGAGCCTTCTCTCCAGCCCCCCTGTCTATTCCTTTTTAACAGATCTGCTTAGATGTACTCTTTGGCAGAACACTCATGCAGCTGGACACCGTGGCACAGGCCTTTAATCCCTGGACTGGGGAAGTAGAGGCAAGCGAATTTCTTCAAGGGTTAGTGAGTAAATATCAAAATATTCTGGCTGTCTCGGAAATGCAAATAAAACCACAGACATCACTCCTACTCAGATGCTGGAAAGAGCAAAACGCGTGTAAACCTTGTTGAAGATGAGGAAGCCTCACTGGTGGTCGGAATGTGACATGAGAAGGCTGCTGGGCAGAATTCTGGCAATCATATAAGGACGTGCAACATAAAGTTACCTATGGCCACAGAGAAACTTAGAGCAGGATTCACAGCAGCTGAAATGGGGAGGCCGCACAAATGCCCGACGCTGAATGAATGTAGAAACGCATAGTTTTCTTCTTTTTGAGAGAGGGCTGACCCCCTGGATACAACAGAATGTTTTCTGGCTTGACTAACATGCATGAGGCCCTAGGTTCAATCCCTAATGCTGCCAATGGAAAAGATAAAATCATTTACAAAATATGTCTGAGTCATCAAAATGACTCAGTATGTAAAGTACTGTGGGCAAAGTCTGAGGAACTCAGCTTAATCCCCAGGATGCATTTAGGGTGGAAGAGAGAATCAGCTCCACAGAGTTGGCTTCTGACCTCCACATGGATGTTGGGTACAACGATCATATACTTTCCACCCCCCCATCCCTGTCTTTCTCTCCATCTCTCTCCCTCTGTCTCTCTCTCCCCCTCTCCTCTCCCCTCCCCTACTCTCCTCCTTTCTCTCTCTATCCTCTCTCTCTCACACACACACACAACATAACAAATAAAATTCAGGGGCTGTCTAGATAGTTCAGTGGGCAAAGGTATTTGCACTCAAACTTGATGAACTAAGTTCCAGCCCTGGATTCGATATGATGGAAGAAGAAAACCAACTTCCCCAAGTTGTCCTCTGACCTCCATACAGGAACCAGAATATGTGCAGTGTGTTCATGCATGTGTGTGCACACACATACACAGGCACGCGCAAACACACTCACACACACTAAATGTAACTTTATTTATTTATTTATTTATTTTTTTGGTTTTTCGAGACAGGGTTTCTCTGTGGTTTTGGAGCCTGTCCTGGAACTAGCTCTTGTAGACCAGGCTGGTCTCGAACTCACAGAGATCCGCCTGCCTCTGCCTCCCAAGTGCTGGGATTAAAGGCGTGCGCCACCACCACCCGGCTAAATGTAACTTTAAAAAGTAAAAAAAGAAAAAGCAAAAATAAATGTCCAGAATGTGTATCACATATTAAATGTTCAGAATAGTAAATTCTCGGAGAAAGGGGTGACCCCCAGGGACGAAGGAGTTGAGAATGATGAAGTGGCTGCTATTGAGCATGCAGTTCCTTTTTGCCATGGAGTATTGTTTTCTACTGGTGATAGGGATCAAATCCAGAGCACTCCGCCTGTGTTCTGTCACTGAGGTCTGCCTCAGACACACTCTGGAGGATGCAAAGGTTTAAAACTGGCTCAGATGGCAGTGGCCACGGGAATAGAGTCTGCATGAGTAGATGATTCCTAACTACCTGGAGTTGAGACTTGAGATACTTCGTATTTTTTTTTATTTAGTTTTGTATTTTGAGATTGATTTTATTTTATGTGTATGGGTGTTTTTCCTGCCTCTATAGACATACTTGCACTGCTTGTGTGCCTAGTGTCTGAGGGGACCGAAAGAAGGTGTCAGATCTCCTGGAACCAGAGTTCAAAATGTCTGTGATCCACCATGTGGGAGCTGGGAATCAAACCTGGGTCCTCTGGAGTGTTCCTAACCACTGAACAATCTCTCTAATCTGTTATTTTTGAGATATCGTCTTGTCGTGTAACTCTAGCTGGTTTAGAACTCACTATGTAAACCGGGCATGGTGGCACACGTCTTTAATCCCAGCACTTAGGAGGCAGAGGGAGGCAGGTCTCTGTGAGTTCAAGGCCAGCCTAGTCTACAAAGCAAGTTTTTTTTTTTTTTTTTTTGGTTTTTCGAGACAGGGTTTCCCTGTGGTTTTGGAGCCTGTCCTGGAACTAGCTCTTGTAGACCAGGCTGGTCTCGAACTCACAGAGATCCACCTGCCTCTGCCTCCCGAGTGCTGGGATTAAAGGCGTGCGCCACCACCGCCCGGCTTACAAAGCAAGTTCTAAGACAGTCAGAACTGTTATATAGAGAGATCCTGTCTTGAAAGACAAAAACAAAAAACAAAAAGAACTCACTATATAGGTAAGGAGACTTTGAAATCTGGATTCTCTTGCTTCCACTCCCCCAGTGTTAGAATTACGGTGATTGGCTTCTACTACTGGCCTTTGAAACTTGACACTTTCGGTAAAGGAGATTTGATGTGTGATGGAATGTTGCTTCACTTCATTTCATTTTCCACGTAAAAACGTTCTTCTTTCCACTGTGTGCTAATTGTACCAATTATAGTTTGAGAAAATGTGGTTTCCTAACTTACAATAAACTACCACTTTGTATTTCAGAGATAAAAAGAATTGCCAAGACACATGAGATAATTTATTGTAGCTCAATTACTTGTTTATTGTATAGTGGGAGTGTTCTCTGGGCATCTGGGTAGGTTTTTGTTTTTGTTTGTTTTGACTGGGGGATGAAACAGGGTCCTTCGTAGCCTAGGCTGGAGATACACAGCTGAGGCTGTATTGAACTCCTAGAGCCTCATGCCTCCACCCCCCACTTCTGGGATCTCAGACATTTTTATTTATTTTTGCCTTAAATTAAATCTCTTCTAATATAAATAAAAATATAACTGCAATATATGGCTACCTACAATGTATCAATATATGCATAAAGGAAAAAGTCATATCCTTTTCTACACATACATGTTTATTTACATTTTATTTATTTGATGTACTTGTGTGTGCTTGTGTCTGCATGTATCAGAGTTCATGTAATAGGGTTGGAACATAGGCAGGCAGGCAGACACAGCAGCAGGCACCTCAAGCCCTGAGACATCTTTCCAGCCCAAT